CAAATTGACAAATATATAATTTGTCACACTTTCTATTTTGACCTAACGGAATAAACGGTATTTGGGTTTCCGTTCAGGTGAAAATTAGAAATCTATCGAAACGTCGTCGTTATATATTTAGCCGATAATCACCTGATTTATTATATATAATTTCTGTATTGTCTCTTCTTCTCTGTTTCTGTACGCGCACCGATTCTTCCTCATCTCCACGTTCATCTTCTACCCTTTCCTCAGCCCTAATTTTTCAACTATGGAATCCATTGGAGTTCTGATGACTTGCCCGATGAACGCTTACCTTGAGAAGGAGCTTGAAAAGCGATTCAATCTTTATAAGTTCTGGCAGTTTCCTCAGAGGACGCAATTCCTCACGGAGAACTGCAATTCGATTCGTGCAGTAGTTGGAAATGCGAAGGCTGGTGCTGATGCCACTTTGATTGATGCCTTGCCGAAATTGGAGATCGTCTCGAGCTTCAGTGTGGGATTGGATAAGATTGATCTCAAAAGGTGCAAGGAGAAGGGGATTCGGGTCACCAATACTCCCGATGTTTTAACTGAAGACGTTGCGGATTTGGCGATTGGGTTGATTATAGCGGTGTTGAGGAGGTTGTGTGAGTGCGATAGGTATGTCAGGAGCGGGAAGTGGAAGATTGGTGACTACAAATTGACTACCAAGGTTCTGTGTTATTGAGCTTAATGCTGCCTGGTATTTTTGGATGAGTTTATTAGCTGAATTTGGATACCTTTATCTAACATGTTTTAGTTAAAGTATTCTGATTGTTAGTGTTATTGTTAGTGATTGCAAATCCAAATGGTTGAATGTTTGATTCAATTGAGAAATGGTGATAAATTCAGGTGGTTAGATTGTTGTTCTATGACACTGGCTAAAACTACTAGAGAAAATGATGCTAATTTCTAGTTCCTGAGCGTCCTTTATTCGATTAATGTGTGTTTTCCTTTCTTTATTAGGGCTAGACATTGACACAATCACAGTGTGTGAATGTATAATTAGTTCTGGAAATGTTTCATTTGTATCAAATAACAACTATCTAGGATTTGGAGATCTTTCCTCCTGGGAGTTCAGATTATTCGGGTTAATTGATAATGTTTGATAGTCTCAAACCTAGTGAATGTGAAGTTGTTACAGATTTTGGGGTGCAAAATTTTGTTTACCGTTAAAATGCACTTTTGTTCCTTGGATTTGAACTCCTTTTCTATTTGGTTTTTGGGTCTTCAAAACTAACACCTTGGGTTATTGATATCTAAATTTAGTTTCTGTTTGGTTCTTGAGGTTTTAGGAATGACATGTTTGGTCTCAAAGCTTTGAACTTGATTTATAATTGGTCCCTGAAGTTTGGAAGTGATACTTATGTAGAGTTAACATAGGTTCATATAACGGAATGTAGTTACAATATGATGACGAGACTTTATTGATAAGTATTTTTTATACGAGTTAGACATTTTTTCTTATACTCGGGGATCAATTAGAAATCAAATCTAAATCTCATGATCAAAACATGTCATTTTTGAAACCAATGACCAAATAGAAACTAAATTCTAATCTCGAAGATCACAAGAGTTAGCTTTGAAAACTTGAGGTTAGTTCAAATCGCAAGGACCAAAAAGGGTGATTTTGTCTTCCTTTTAACAAACCCTTGGATAGGTTGCACTTTGTTTCCTAACAATTATCTTGAATGAACTTTCTTTTATGTTCTACAGCACTGTTTATGTATTCGTTTCTTTCTCTCTATTCTTGCATCCGCAAGCGGCTAATGTGTTTGTTGGAAAGTGCATTGGTTTTATTCTCAGGTGTTGGAGTTTCCTCTTGCCGTTCACTCTCACTAACAGCAATAGAATCAGTGCCAATCTTTATATATGTATTTTGGTTTGATTTTCTTCCTGTAGAAGTTAATTTATGGTAGCTGAAGGCATGGAAAAAAAGGGTGAACATAAGGCTTCAACATTAAACTACTTTCCAGTTTCTATGTCTGAATATTTCATGCTAATTTTTCAGAGTGACTGGCTAAAGAATTTGGACGCGTTTATCTTACTTCTCAAGTCGTTTTTTTATGTCTTTTTTATTGCAATGTTACTACGTTGGCAAATATTTTCATAATTTGTCCTTCTATAACGGGATAAGGTATCCAATTGTATCTTTGTAATTGTTCTGGACTTGTCGATCTATAGAAGTACTAATAATGACATTGTTATTGTTTCTCAGTTCTCTGGAAAATCAGTTGGCATTCTTGGTTTGGGAAGAATTGGCTTAGCAATTGCCAAGAGAGCTGAAGCATTCAACTGTCCGATATCTTACTACTCAAGAACAGAAAAGGAAGGTTCCAAGTACAAGTACTACTCAAACCTTCTCGATTTGGCCTCCAACTCTGATATTCTGGTCGTTGCTTGTGCACTAACAAAAGAGACCCACCACATCATTAACCGGGAAGTTATCGATGCATTGGGTCCAAAAGGCGTTCTCATCAATATTGGGAGGGGTCCTCACGTCGATGAACCCGAATTAGTAGCTGCCCTGGTCGAAGGCCGATTAGGCGGTGCAGGACTTGATGTGTTTGAGAATGAGCCTGAAGTGCCTCAAGAGCTCTTTACACTTGAAAATGTTGTCCTGGTGCCTCATATAGGAAGTGGAACTGTTGAAACTCGTACAGAAATGGCTAACCTTGTGCTTGGAAACCTGGAAGCTCACTTCTCCAATAAACCTCTGTTAACTCCGGTGGTGTAGTTTTGTGATCAAGCCTATGTTGTAGCCTGGAGACTTCTATGGCAGCTGCAACCAGTAACCATGAGACCACTGCTTCCAAAAATTGGCAAATGCCTCGGGTTTGCCACGGGTCAATGAACTGATTCGATGAGTACTACCCGGCCATGTTCATAATTTGAATCTTCTATGACTATTGCTTTCCTACATTATTGGTATCATAAGGCCACAATTTAACTCTTCTTATCAGTCTGAGGAAATATTTGAGACATCTCTTGCTTCCCAGAAAGACCGTTGTTAAGCATTCTTTGATGGAAGGAAACTATTTCCATTTCTCATTCAAACCTAGGTTGTTAGGGATCTCAGTTTAGATAGTTTCTGAGCCTTTGAATGAACCAGGAGATTGCCTATAATTGATTGTCTGAACCCAGGAATTAGCTAATCTTGGCAGAGAAGTGAAATGGGCAGTGAAAATGCTTGGAAAGGATTAAGAACTGTGTTCACATGAGTTCATATTTACATAGTATACCCACCAAAAGCATTAAAGGATTTTGAACATCAAGCATCCAAACAACCCACAATGATATTCAAACTCTCTAAATCTCCCTTTGAAGATGAGAAAGTTAAGAGTCTCCAGTTTGAAGTAGATGAAAGAGCCTTTGGAGTGGGTGAAGAAACAACCAAAATTTGAACCCACCACACATTGCCATCCGCTTCCATATCTGTCGTCAAAATCCTGCAAGTCCACAACCAAACAAGGAATCAAAGCCTGAGATTTTCAAACCAATCTCTTCAAGCTACCATGTTCTTCTACACATACACCTCAAATGGGTAGAGAGAGTAGAGAGAGTGTAGCAGCCTAAGCCTACCGCTAGCCGATATTGTCTATTTTGGTCCACTGTCAGGGAGAGGTTTTCACTCTCTTATAAGGAATACTCGTGGGATCTTAGAGAGAGAGAGAGATAAGGGAGAGAGAGAACCTTTTTGATGTGGGCAGCAATGGATTTGCAGTCGAAGACATCATAGCGATCCAGAGCTTGAGAAGCAGCGTCCATGGCTTGGATCTGCATCTTGCCAGGCATATCTGTATCCTGTACCAAAGCTTTGCCTTCCAACATCCTTTCCTCTTACCTGAAAAGACAGAACTGGTGGGGATTTTCTCGACAAGATGATTATATCAATCTGAAATGCCTTCTTCTTCCAAGACTATAATCCAACACAGAAACAAGAAGAAAGGGAGCAAATAGATGATGATTTTATACAAGGAAAGACTCTAGAACCCCCTCTGGAATCTTTTGAAATTCAAGTTTTAAGCTGGTACTTCTTCCGATTAATATCATTTTTGTGTCATTTTCTCTCCCCACTTTAAGGACTTCAAACTATTCAACTGTATTAGTGTGATATCTTGCATTGGTTGGAGAGGAGAACGAAACTCCATTTATAAGGGTGTGGAAACCTTTTTCCTAGCATTAAGGGTGTGGAAACCTTTCCCTAGCAGACGTGTTTTAAAGTCTTGAGGGGAAGTTTGGAAGGGAAAGCCCAAAGACACAATATTGCTAGCGGTAGGCTTGGCAATTAAGAAAAGTTTTCTCCGTCTCTCTTTCTCTCTTCCTTTCCCTTTCCCCTGCGCTGAAGATATTTACGGGTGAAGGATAAAGGTGGTGAGGCCAATAATGCAGCCAAGTTTTTCTTTGGATTTTTCTCCCAATTAGTCGATGTTGGGATAGGAGTGCTAATAAGTACTGTCCCAAAGTTAAGTTAAAATTTACTAGCTTTCTTAAAGCTCCAATGAACGGTGGTCTGAACATCTCCAACAAAGAAGTTGGACCCTGAAGGAGGTAGATTGTAAAATCCCATATAAGCTTCGATCAACGACGGTCTGAACATTTCCAACGAGGAAGCTGGACTTTAAAGGAGGTAGATCGTAAGATTTCATACCGGTTGGGGAGGAGAACGAATCATTCTTTATAAGGGCGTAGAACCTCTCCCTAGTTTGAGGGTAGCTCAAGAGTAAAAATTCAAAGAGGATAATATCTACTAGCTGTGGGCTTGGACCGTTACAGTTTCTATCTCATCTCCATTCTTCTTACAATACATTTAGGGATGCCTTCCAGGGAGAATCCTTAATCAGTTTCCTTCCAAAACCTGATTTTTCTGGAATGAAGTAAGAATATGGTTTCTTTTTTGAGAGTTTCCTGTTCTTGCTCATTGTAATATGAATATTTCCAGCCCAGAAATGGTTGTAAAGGAGACAAATCTTTTCCAGTTAACAACAGAACAAAAGAGATGAAGCTTTACAAAGGTAACCACTCTTTACTCATACTCAGGTATCTCTGCACAAACCAACAAAAAAGTAATCTGCAGAAGAATTTCTTATAGAATTCGTTCACAAACAGACGAATGGATCGATACGATCCTCGGGGCGAAAGTGTGAACATAGTCACTCATATGTGCATGAACTCTTCTTGAACATGATGGCCTTGGTGCTGGTAGAATCAATGCCCACAGGGCAAGAGATTTTCTTTATATGTGTTGTTCTTACGAGCTGCCCAACGACGTATCCTCGTGATCGAACTTTGAATGCCAATATCATTGGAACTGGGCCACTTGTAGGGGAAACAGTCAAAGTTGATGCAGCTCCATACATTGGAACCTTGATTCCTTCCAAGTTGATAGATACTGTTCGGTGGCTGTTTCTTGGCTGATAGTATTTCAACTGCACATACAATCACAAGGTATGCGAGTTAGTGTAATCGTCCATAAATTCTTGTCGAGATAAGTTTAGGCCTGTTTGAAATGATTGTTTAAGTGCTTAAAAACATTCAATGTAACGGTTCAAGCCTACCCTTAGCAGATATTGTAGTCCTCTTTGGATTTTTTTCTTTTGGGCTTTCTCTCAAGATTTTTAAAACATGTTTGGCTAAGGTTTCCATACCCTTATAAAAAATATTGGAAAAAATCGATGTGGGATCTCACAATCCACCCTCCTTCGGGGACCAGCGTCTTCGCTAGCACTCGTTCCCTTTTTCAATCGATGTGGGACCTTTCAGTCCACCCCCCTTCAGGACCTAGCGTCCTTGTTGGCACACCGCCTCGTGTCCACTCCCCTTCGAGGCTTAACCTCCTCGTTGGCTTTGTTCCTCCTCCCCAACTTATATGAGATCTCACAATCCACCCCCATTCGAGGCCCAGCATCTTCGATCGCACTCGTTCCCTTCTCCAATCAATGTGGAACCCCCCAATCCACCCATTTCAGGGCTTAGTGTCCTTGCTGGCACACTGCCTCATGTCTACCCCTTCGAAGCCTAGCTTCCTCGCTGGCTCATTGCCCGGTGTCTGGCTCTAATACCATTCATAACGGTTCAAGCCCACCGCTAGCAGATATTATCCTCTTCAGGCTTTTCGATCAAGGTTTTTAAAACACGTATACTAGGGAGAGGTTTCCACACCCTTATAAAGAATGTTTCGTACTCCCTCCAACCAATGTAGAATCTTACATAAAAACACTTTTTAAGCACTTACAAAGTCATTCCAAACCAACCCTTAATTTTATCGCTCAAGGCAAGCCTCGTAAAACGTATAACAAAATAAACCTCAGTCCAAGCTCAACATAAGTTCATTACCTGACCAGAGGCCACAACAATATCTGAATAAAGGAGATCAACTGCTGTGGAAGTAACATGAATGCCAAATACGGTAGCAGGGTTATACACACTTAACCTCAAAGTGCTGTTCAATGTCAGCAACTTGGTAGGAACCCCAGTTGAATCTGAACCTTCCCCAACATAAAAGTTATGCACAGCCAAGCTCTGTAAGGATCAAAACTTGCATTAAACAAAAAAACATATCTGTTCATGCTCAAGAACATCTCTGTTTATGCTAAATTCATATAATAACTTGACTACCTTGACAGAAATCTGAGCCTTGAAGCTCCTGGTAGCACCCCAAATGATGAGGCAGAGAAGCATGAACAAAGCAATGAAGCTTAGAAGAGCAATTATGGCCTGAAAGCGTCTTGAAAGAGCCTTGTCCTCAAGGTCATCATAAGGCCCTTCTTCCATGATCACATTACATTCCGGCCACCCTTTGTCATTGCTAATCATCTGCTTCTTGCTCCCTTTTCTCCCTGAAGATGACTGGAAAATCCCCGAAAATCGGCTCGCCGATGAGTTTCTTGAATGGCGACCGAACGACGGGTGCGACGGTGACTCAATTGGGCTGTTGTTGTAAATTGGAGTGGTGTGCAGTGATGAAGATTTGTCACCATCGTTAGAACACCTTGAAGGACTCTGCACATAGTATGTCGGCCGCTTCGGTGACCTCGACGGAGACGATGGCGCCAAACTGGTTATATCGGACTCGGATTTCGTCGAAAGCATTTCTTTAGGAATTTGAGGAAGAGATTCTTTTGGGATTTCAAAACAGGGGACAATTCTTCAACGCCCTGTACTCCAAGGTTAAGTAGGAAGGAGATGAAAGGCTTGAACCCAAATGACAGCCACTAACAGAAGAATGAGTGTCGGCAGCAGCTTATTATTGGTTCTTTATTTTTCAATTTTTTTTTTCATATATTTTTTAAATATTTAAATTTAGCTAAAATATTTTCCACAAATATCCATTTTTTCTCCCTTTGAAAATAATAATAATGAATTATTATTATTATTTAACTAATTTGAAAAAAAAAAATTTAAGTTTAGCAAAAATACATCTAATTGGTATTTTTTTCTCTTATTTTACTTTTTTTTCTTTTTAAATAAACTTAAAAAAATGTTTTCGCTACTTTTGAGACTCGCAAATTCTAAATTATAATAATTTAATGTCATTTAATTTATAAATTTTTAAATATATAACGATTTAATTTCTAAAATAAGTATTAACATTTTTAAAATCAAACTTAATGTTTGTAGATATAAATGCAAGGGGTCCATAGTTTATATTGTCACCTACTATATTATATATATATATAAAAGATTAAATGCAAAAAGATTCCCATAAAGTCGCACCAAATTGGATTCGGCTGCTAGTGATGTGGTAATTACAACCACAAGACAAAGACAAGCAATAATTCATCATTTAAAAAAAAAAAAATATAATTCATCATATTTTTAAATAAAAGTTTATGAAATAATAATTATTTTTTGGTACAAAGATTCTGTACCGACAAATGTGTAAAACATTTAAATTAGATTTTCCATTTTATATTTATCTTTCATAATTTCCCACTAAGGATGGGTTAATTAATTAGTAAGAAAATTATGAATTGAATAGATTTTTTTTTTTTTTTTAAGGTAATATAAAGATCGAAGAATCAAGTTACTTGTTTCGTTATGCCTATGCAACGTAGACGATCAGTGGACAATGAAAAGGAGCAGAACACGATCAATTATCTTTACTAGTATTTTTTTTTTTCTCCAAAGTTTTTGCAAAGTAACTCCAATGAGAAGAAACCTCCCGACCCACCCTATCACACTCTTAAGATCTTTCTAGAACTATGGTAGTATCGGAAAAAAAATTCATGCTACACTCGTTTGTCATAAAAGTAGTTTTTGGCTGATGTTTGATTCATAAATAAAATAATATATCATCTGATGACGTGTTAGACACTGAAGAAAAGAATATGTACCATTATAGTACTAACTAGCTCCTTTGAGTGGAATGATAGATAAACACGTCTAATCATACCGATTAGTCGTTTAAGTAGTTAGAAAATCAACGACCAAAATGTACGGAGAGATACAAACAAAGATTGCATGAAGTTAGGGTTCTTAGTTCATTCTCTCATGTTGAGACCCAAAAATGATTAAGCAAAATATATAAACATCAATTAATGGTAATATAATTGGACCAAATGGTTTCAGGAACATAAAACAGAGGAAATACAGTGAAGGAAGTAGACAGCACCCATTAGTTTACACTTAGCACTCACATCCTGTTGATCTTTGCTGCCGTCCACCTGCAACATCAATGGTGTCGGGAATGTATCTGCCATTTTCCCAGAAAGGGAAACAAAAGTTAATGACAAGCAAGGGAACGAAACTCCGACGAACTCCCGAGTCCGATACAGTTCAATGAGTCATAACTCTGGTTGTTTGCTATTCAAGAATTCTTGTTTAGGTAGTTCATACCATCCATACATAATGTTTTGATCTATGATTTCGATTCTTCTATGTTTCAGCAGTCGTATATTGTTCCGTGCAGCTAAGGTCCAAAATATGGAAGAAACTCGTATTTTCACGACTCTACCACCACCGAGTCAATTCTATGTCTCGAGTGTTATGAAACTCGTGTCTCAAATTCTAAAGGTTCTGAGGATACACTTCAGCAAGAAAGTGAAAAATCTTTGTAAAAGTAAGTTGGATTAGGGACATGGCTATCCAAAGGGCAACTCTACTCTTACTATCCATGACAAACCTAACATGGCTCTAATCGACAAGCCTAGAATCCTAACGAGAAAATGAGGGGACATTCCCGAACCCGGTTAGAGGACGTTTTCAGCAGACATAATATAACATAACGTGGCTCTCGTACTTGTGTTATTTAGCAACCTACTTCAATAAGTGTAACAGCCCAAGCCCACCACTAGCAGATATTGTCTTCTTTGGGCTTTTCCTTTCGAGCTTTCCCTCAAGGTTTTTAAAACCGCGTCTACTAAGGAGAGGTTTCAACACCCTTATAAAGAATGCTTCGTTCCCCTCTCCAACCGATGCGGGATCTCACAATAAGATTCCTAAAGATAGAACGTAGCTACATGCATAATCGATAAAAGGATGTCGTGAGGAGGGAAATGAAGCTACAATTGCAATTCAATGGAGTGTAATATACTAACGTTTCTTCTTCTGGTTCATTCTTGAGAGCATTTTTGGCTATACATTGAAATGCCGCATCCACATTGAATCCTTCTTTTGCAGACGTTTCAAAGTATGGTATGTTTCCTTTTGAAGCACACCATGCCTTTGCTTTCTTCTCAGAAACCTACAACACCATTAAAGCAGAAAAGAACAATCCTCACTCTGGCCTAGTAATTCAGGTTACCATGATAAAACCAAAACCGGGCAAAACTCACCACTCGACTGTTCCCACCATCAACGTCGACCTTGTTCCCCAATACGACAAAAGGGAAGTTCTCGGGATCAGATGGACTAGCCTAAACATAAAGAAACAAAAGGCTTTCATTAAGAACAAGTATATGATGCCATAGGCTTGTATCCATCTAGTATCGACACCGAATCAATACCGACCTGAATTAGAAACTCTTTTCGCCAGTTGTTAAGATTATCAAATGATTTCATAACGTTCACGTCATAAACAAGAACACAGCAATCAGCACCACGGTAAAACGCCACTCCGAGACTTTGGAATCGTTCTTGACCAGCTGTGTCCCAGATCTGCATTTTGACACTACACATATAAATCGTCCATCTCAAGACATTTTAAGGCAAACCCACACCAGCTTCTCAACAAAAAAAAAATGAACAAACCATAGAATATTTCCTATATTTATATAAACTAATCCAAACCACAACCATGGGAAGGAAGGGAAACAATTCTATCTCAAACGTAACCGAGTCATAGAGGAATAGCAAAGATAATTATTACCACAGAGTAAAGATTTAAACCACAGTTGTTAGAAATCACGACCCTCCACAATAATATGATATTATTATTATCCACTTTGAGCATAAACTCTCGTACCAATGGAGATGTATTCCTTACTTATAAACCCATGATCATTCCCTTAATTAGCCAAGGTGGAACTCTCTCCCAACAATCCTCAACAATCCTCCACTTGAGCAAAGTACACCATAGAACCTCCCCTGAGGCTTATCGAGCCCTCAAACAGCCTCTCCTTAATTGAAGCTCGACTCCTTTCTCTAAAGCTCTCGAACAAAGTACACATTTGTTCGACACTTGAGTCACTTTTGACTACAATTCGAGGGTCACAACTTCTTTGTTCAACAATTTGAGGATTCTATTGACGTGGCTAAGTTAAGAGCATGACTCTGATACCATGTTAGAAATCACGACTCTCCACAATGATATGATATTGTCCACTTTGAGCATAAACTCTCGTTACTTTGCTTTTGGTTTCCCAAAAAGACCTCATACCAATGGAGATGTAATCATTACTTATAAACTCAGGATTATTCCCTTAATTAGCCAACGTTGGACTCCCTCCCAACAATCCTCAACATGAATTGCTTTTCATTTCAAATATTATGAGCGAACGTCATAAATTTCATAAACTAGAACTTCTAGAGATCCTCAATGACCAATCCTAGCCTGAATTGCTAATGCTTAGTAACCAGAGAAGCCATTAGAGGCCATTAACTTTGAACACATTCCACACAGCTCCATTGAAAAACAGAATATCCAACAGATGAAAACAGTAGAGCTACTATAGCCATACTTACTTGTAATGTGAATGACCTGTCATCGAGCTGAACTTCCTTCGTGAGAAAATCTGCTCCAATGGTCGCCTTGTATTGATTGCTAAACTTACGATTCACATACCTAGTCATCCAAATAAAAGTAGCAAACCCAACAGGCAATTAAACAACCCTATTAATGAAATGAGTACCAAAACAAACGTTCAAAGTTTCGGATTCAAACGCATACTGATTCATTAGCGATGTCTTCCCCACGCTGCCAGAAATTGTAGAAACTTAATTAGGGAAAAACAATCCATCACATCCAATAAAGGAAGAACAGAAAAAAAACAAGAACTAGAACACGGAACGGGTCCAGGATTTATGAGTTTCCGAATTCCCCCACCATACCGTCTTCGATTATCTCAAATTAAAGGAACCAGAATCAAAATGCGATAAAGAAATAAAAGGAAAATTGAAAGCTCACCCACTATCGCCAAGGATAATGACTTTCAAAAGTATGCGCCTGCGTGAAGCCATGGATGAAAAGCACGAAATTGGAGAGAATTTTAGGGAAGTTTTAAGGATTTTAAATTGACCGAAAGAGATGAAGAACGGGAAATTTTTCGTGGGTGTTGTCGAGGGAAAAGGCTGACCGGAAATTGTAAAATAGCGGCAAACAATGGGAGGACAGGAAAGGGCGGTTGAGTCCGCTATATCCCCAAAATACCCTCAGAACGATGGCTTTTTTACGTCGGATGCCATTCCCTCCTATTTTTGAGATTTGCCCTTCTATACAAATATTCCCATTCCATTGTTCCAAATCATTTCACCCGCAAAATTTTAAATGTCATTATATAACTCAGACTTGGTTGGCGGGAAAATGCTCCTTTTACCCATTTTTATTTTGGAAAATAATACTAATAATAAATTTTCAAAATCTTCAAAAATAATTATAGGGTCCCATTTTGATTGGGGCTAATTTTGTAAATGTACTTTTTTTTTCTCGTAAATATATTAAAAAAGTGACATTAGTAGGTGAAAATAAAAAATTCAGACATCGGGTAGTACCTACTTAGTTCATAATATTAAACCTATTTTGTGCTATTAAAGGATATAATACATTCTGATTTT